GTGGTGTGAACATATAATAAACATGGATGTTTTGGGGCTTGCCAATGAAGTACAATATTATAATTTAATGATATGCATTCATTTTGGCATTCAATTTTTTTTTTTTTATGTGAATTTGGTCATGCTAAATCGGATTCCTGGTCAGCTTTGTTATATAAAGTTCTTTGATCTATGAAGTCTAGTGGAACTCCTTTAATTTTTTGGTAACTGTTCAACTCAACATATAATGGTTTTGTTTGCGGATGTAAGTTATGTTTCGTAGATAATAAAGCAATAGTTTACCTTTCATCAATAATCATAAGTGACTTAAATATTTGTGTTATGAAAATCATTTTAGAATTGAAATTTTGTAATTTTGAATTTTAAATTTGAAAATTGAATTCTATTTTTTAGAATTTAGTTATGATTATCTATTTTTATCAATTGGATCCTGTGTATATACTTGTGTCTATGATGTCATCATATTTCTTAGGTTACCTTGCTCCAATATTGGGATATTTCTAATTGTTTGCTTTGTTTTTGTGGTTGCTGTTTATTTTGCTGCATTGTTTTCCATTCATAGCTCCTTTCTTTTTTTAATTTGACTTCTCTATTTTAGATCCTGTTGTTCCTTTATTTTGATTTTTGCGGCTTTTGCAACTGCTTCCTTCTAGCTGTCTTTGTAGTTACTATTTGACCTTTGGCTGTGCTTGTGTTTGTTCGCGAGCATATTACATTATCTTTTTTAAAAATATTTCAAGAACTTCCGTTCTTTAATCCAATAGCTTGAGTTTTTCACGTTGCATGGCATTTAGACTTGATACTTATTTTTAAAGTGCTAGGTGATGTGAAGCATCAACTAAGCAATTTGTCCCTTTCCATAATCATTATAGATAGCCCTATCCCATAATTTGAGGTCAGTTTTATGAATAATCTATTCATTCCGACTAAGTACTACATGAGATATTTACTCTAATATACATGTCTTTTTCATAGCTAGCTATTTGATTTGGCCTATCAAGTTTGTTTTATATTCCTTGTGCTTTCATTCTATCTGTCTATTTTATTTAGCATATTTTATACTTTATTGTTGTTGCTTAGACTACATAAATATATTTTTCTTAGGTTTATTTTAATTAGTACTATATTTTATCATCTCTTTGATATAACTATTTTTCAATATAACTTTTCTTGTTTTATGGCTTGATGCCCAAACATCTTAATATTCTTATTTTTATGACACTTAACTTGATTAATAATTTCTCTGTTGAAATAGTTAGTTTTTATTCATTTGTTTCTATATCTCCGTGATGTTCTCTTATGACGTAGGATGAAGTAAGATGTTTTTTTACTTACATATCTTTGAATTTAGAAGTTAAATCTTCATTAATATACCTATTCTTTTCTAAAGTAGATCCAATGTAATATCACTTATAGGTTCTCTTATGTTTTGCATAATTATTAATTTTGCAATGAAGTAGGTTTGGAGGTGTGGTTGTTATGGGTGTAATTTGGATAAGGTCTAATCGATTCCATCTAGGGGTGTAAGTGAGCCGAGCCGGCTCGTGAGCCGGCTCGAGCTCGACTCGATAACGAGCTCATATTTTATTTTCAAATCTCAGCCTTCTCCGATGGCGAGCTCCACGTGAATGAGGCAGATTTCTTCTTCGATGGAGAGCTCCACATGAATGAGGCGGATGGACGAGGAGGAAGACTTGCTCGAAGGCTGCCCAGACCGCCGAAGCTCGCGAGCCGGCTCGAACTCGTTAACAGTGGAACGAGCTCGAGTTCGAGCTCGAGTTCGAGCTCGACTTTCGAGCTCGACTTGAGCTTGAGCTCGAGTTCGAGCTCGCTTTCCGACTGACGAGCTGAGCTCAATAGTGTCAAAACTCGACTCGACTCGACTCGTTTACACCCCTAATTCCATCTAAAGTTGTTCCCCATATTAAATATGTTTCATCATTATTGTAACTAAAACTGACCTAAATTATGTTGTAACAGAATAATATCCCATACTACAATTTTTCATTATGTTCTTAAGTCCACATAGTACTCGTGTATTTGATATGCCTTTTTCAAAGATGAATGCTTTAGCCTTTTTTATAGCCTCATGAAAGATAATTAAATCTCTCCAATTCAGTTACAACAACATTATAATTAACACTCAATTAAATAAAACTAGCTTGCAATACATAATTTTTATTGTTTATGTTTCAAGCAACTTGCAAGTGAGCGTATTGAGTAATGTACTGCATCACTTTTAAACAAATAAAACTTACAAATTTATGGTAAGATTATTAATGATACATTTAGGTTTTTTGAATCCTTCATTTAATTTTTTTTAAAATAATTTCAAGAAATTCTTAGGTATTCATTTGGATCATCTTCTTCTTGTTACATGGCTTGCGAAGTTGAGAACTAATCGATCATCTTTGTTCTACATATTTAAGTAACCCAATCCAGTCATCACATTTTAGAATTGACTCATATTAGTTGCTTTGGTTTGGGTTGGGATGGTTCTCTTAGTATTTTGCCCATCCCTCCATTCTGATTATGTGATTATAGGTTCAACCACAAAAAAAGGTAACTTAAAATTTAACGGTTAGCATGCATATTTCACCCCACTTACCTCATTGAAGCTTCATGTACTCAACTATGAATTTTTTCTTTAATTATAAAATTTGTTTCCACTAATATTTCCTATTATGTAAATACTGTCTTTAATAAATCTTGAACCTCAAATCTCTTAAAAATTTCTTTTATTTATGAAATTTTTTTGCTTTTGAAAGACCTCAACCATCAAATCTATGTCATCCGTTTATACCATACATCAGATTATATCATCTTAAATATTTTTTATACTTGCTGCATACCCATTACTAGAAGATTAGGATTTCTATTCTTAGTATAACTTATATAAATGAAAATTGGCCACACCAAATTTACTGATGGCAATCACCACTTCATGCACAGTTTTAAGCACTTTAGCATGCCATTAGCATATATTTTATCCTTGATACCTTTGCGTACTTTTTTTCGCTTAAAACACTTCAAAGTAACTTTAGCTAGTTGTACTTTATTAAGATCTGTATGTTGTTTTTTATTTTTGTTCTATCAATTGATCTCCAATATAATGCCATTTTTTCTTGGTGTTTGTCCATTTCCCTTCTCCTTTAATTATTATTTTATGACTACCACAAAATTGATTATCTCTTCTGAGCATTTGTATAGAAATATATTTTTCTCCATCGATTTCTCATCTCCTTAGTCTTTAGGATTTTTTAAGAAAGAAAAATGTTGATCATACTGATCAAATATCTCTCATAGCACTCCAACTCATTAAGCCATATCTGCATCTGAAGTTGAACTTTTATGCATGTTGTTTAAGCTAAAAGAGCCTCACCTTTTTTGGGGTTTGTCTGTATATTTAAATACCAAATTTATTTTAGTTTGCTAAATAATTCCCTCATCAAAATTTTCATTTAATTTCTTAAAATAACAGTTTTTAAATATCTTCACTTTCTTTTCATTTTTAACTAAAATTTTATTATTTACACTACTAATAAGCCTACTTGATAGAAGCTCTAAATCTACCATCTATTGTATTTGTTACAATATTTATGTTTTTTTCTACTTAATAACTAACTTGTTATATATTTAATCTAAGCCTCTAGATTTCCTCTCTATTGTGCCCTTCCATGTTATTCATTTTTAAAGGATAGATTTTGTAATATGTGTGCTCGGTTGTGTAGCTTACCAGGCCAGCGCCTTCTATTATTTGGCACTTTATAACCCTTTTTTTTCATTTTGATTTTCCTTTTTTTTCCACTTTTGCATAATTAATGTTCAATATATGTTAAATTGGTTTGAAATTATCATGACCTCCATCAATTGATTTATGTATTATTCTGCTTTATTTTTATATCTTTTAATGCTTTTATGACTTAGTTATGATGATCTTTTTTTTTGCTTCATCATCATCATTCTTCTACTTTATTTTTTATTTTTTTTTCATGCATTTATGACTTTGTTATGATTATCTTTTTTATTGCTTCATCATCATCATCATCATCATCATCGAAATCATGTTATGTATAAGGAAGAGGTAGACCTAAAAAGACATGGTTAGAAAATATTAGAAATGATCTTTCTTTTTTAGATTTAAACGAGAATTTGACTGTTAGCAGGACAAAATGATGAAAAAGGTTTCATGCAGCCGACCCATCGTAGTGGTACAAAGGATTGATGTTGTTGTTGTTGTTGTATTCCTATTATGTGTTTTATTTGGTGATACAGCTAAATTTATTTGTAGTAAATCATATTGAATGTTTTCTACCCATATTATCTTGGGCCTACTTTTTTGCTTCCTAATATTTTTATTCAATTTTATCTTCTCATTTAATGAGTGCATTTTCTACCTGTCATTGTAGATATCACAACCAGTTGTGTTGGTTTACAATTATCTTATCTTGAATAATTGTCACTCTGATCATTCCTCTAAGTTAGTCCTTCATCAGCTTATCCTTCCTAGTTTTGCCACTTAACATTCTCATTTTCGCCGTGCACAGTTTTATATCAACGATTATTTTATTATCCAACATTTGAATCTATATTAATATAGTTAGCCTGATTATGGTTTTATAAAATTTTTGTATATATATATAAGATGGTACTGTCTCACTTGGTACTCTTGATGATTTTGATGGCAATTTCTGCTTATGTTTTTTTATTTGACGATATCCCAACACTGATGACAAAGCTAAAGTTTTGGGATCTGTGCCCATTGGAAATAAAAAAGTAAACTTTCAAAAAATTGTGTAGAGTAGGCAAACAAAATCATATCACATAACCAGTAAAGCAAACTTGGATCTGCTCACATTGGTGTTACTTAATTCATATGTGATTCCAGCCCTGGCATACTCTCTTCAAATTCTATTTTTGAGTAATTAACTAATCTGATAATTACTGAGTAAAAATCAATTATGATTGGACATCAAAGTTATCTACCTTATATTGGTCAGATTGCCGAAAGAAACAACTTGGATGTGGATATTGATCTCGCACTAGGCTTTGCTTCTTACTACTGTAAGATTGGAACCATGGAATGCCTGGTAGAAGAGGGTCATGCATCCGCATTTCTTGCTCCCTTAATGAAGGCAGCAGAGAGAGGCTGCAAGCCTGTTGTCGAATGGTTTATCAACCATGGATGCACTGACATGGAGCTCTGCCTGGCCTTAACTGCTGCAACTTCCAACAGCCAGGTTGACATTGCTGCTTACCTTCTTCCTTATGTGCCCCTGAATGTACTTTCCACCCTAAGCATAGAAATACTCAAGAAGACGGCCGAGAGGGGCAGCGGTTCGCTTGACGGAGTAGCTTTCCTCCTCCGTTCTAACTTCCTTGGTGATCCTATTGCAACCTATGCTGTTGCGGATGACTTGGCTACATCAGATGATGCTGGAGCAGAATCGATGGAGCTCAGTGCCTATCTGAGGGAATATTGGTCAGAAGCTGCATTTACTGAAGGTATGAGATTAGGGCAGGAACATTATTTGAACTTCTCACGAGTCCTAAGACGAGGCGAGTCGCCAATTTGCTTGAGCGACTTGCCAGCGCCGCTATCAGCGGCGATCGCCTTCCTTCCCCTCTATAGGGAATGTCTAAAGGCCGGCGGACCATTGCTGCCGCAAAAGTTGAGAGGGGAGCTTGTGGAAGCTGTTAGGAGGCTTCAAGGACTACCATTTGCCAATGCTGGGAATTATGGTTCTGAGCTTGTGGAAGTTTTGGAGCGAAATCTGCCTTCATTCTTACTTCCTGTTCGATGCATTGGTCATTGAAGGTACCTGCTTTGACCAAGAGTGTATTGTATCAAAGAACAGCATAGTTTTTTCAACGGTTCTTTGATCCATTATTTTATTAGTTTATGGTGCGACTGTTCCAGTGTTGTTGAGAGCTTTAGATGCTAACATTCTTGTGTGTTTGTGTCTCTCTCGCCCTCTCTATATATGTATATGTATGTGAAGATTTTGCTTGTTGCATATGTAAATGTTTTGAAGAGCTAATTGAATAACGGTCGTGGAGATTTTGTGCGTCAACAATCCACTAGGCATCATAGCAACTTCGCCAATTTGATACGAAATGAGCATATACGTGAAAAGGTTGGAGTAGCTCCAGTAGAAGATAAGATTAGAGAGAGTCGCCTTAGATGGTTTGGTCACATAAAACGGCGGCCTTCCAATGACCCGGTTAGGAGAGTAGAGGTATTAGATTTGACTTATGTTAAGAAAGGTAGAGACAGACCTAAAAAGACCTGGTTAGAAAGTATTAGGAATGACCTTTCTTTATTATATTTAAACGAGAATTTGACCTTTAATAGGACACAATGGAGAAAAATGATTCATGTAGCTGACCTCACGTAGTAGGATAAATGCTTGATGTTGTTGTTGTTGTTGTTACAACATTCTGTCACCTTCAACAGTGTTAGGTTAGTGGAATGAGGTATTCTTTCAACTGAATATTTATTAGAGAATAAAGGTTGTGAGGCACATTTCATACTTGCCTTTGATGATGTGTTTAATGTTGATGGCGATGTACCTTTATTTGATGGTGCGCACTTTGTGAAAAATGAAAAATTCCTTCGGAGGATAGAGAGGAATTTACATGTTTGGAGTTTAGTGTTGTTATAGAATTGTATTTTGGGTGCTGTAGGAGGATGGAGAGCTAACAACAAAAACTATTTAATGAATATGATTGAAGTGGTTTAGTCTTGTTGTTTTCACTTTTTTGGGGAGTAAGGCCTAGTTTGGAATGATTTTTTTATTATTTTGTAAAGTTGTTGCAAATAAAGTAATTCTTATAAGTTATAGAAAGTAGCTTCCTAGCAAAAACTTTTTTTGTAAGTAGCGAAAATAGTGGTAAAAAAATTTATAGTTATCAGTAAGAAAGTTGTTTGAAACAAAGCTAAGGTTTCTTTTGATAGTTTTCTAGCTGTTTTTAAGCAGTTTTTTAGTACAAAAATTTTTTGTACTAAAAAATAGTTTTATAAAACAGAAAGAAAGCTGCCACAAATGAAGCTTATATGAGTTGCGGTGCGAATAGGGCTGCAAACGAACCAAGACGAGCCGAGTATGTGAGTGTTCATATTTGTGTTCATTTAATATCAGCTTGTTCAAGTTTGGTTCATGTTTGTTCGAGCTTTATTGTTTGTGTTCATGTTTGGTTCATTTAAATTAAGAAGTGTTCATGTTCAGTTCATGTTCGTTCGTTTAGTGCTTATCAAGCTTGTTCGCGAACATATTTAACAAATTTTTTATCGAGCTTAATGTCGAGCTTGTTCACGAACTTCAAATGATGTTGTTCGCGAACATAAATGAGCCGAACGCATTAGTGTTCAAGTTTGTTTATTTAAGAATCGAGTATTTAAAATATTGTTCAAGTTTGTTTATTTATCTAATTAAACCATCACAAACGAGCTTTAATCGAACCGAACAACGAGTAGCTCGTCGAACGTTTGGTTCGCTTGTAGCCCTAGGTGTGAAGTTCAAATAAGAGAATTTTAAGTTGGTAGACTTGAGGGGTAAATATTTATATAAGTTAGATTTTGAACCACATAAAAATTCCTGTATTTTAACATCTATGATTATTTACTTGCATTTTATTATTTATTTATTTATCAAGCTTGAAAACTTATAATCTTTTATGTGAAGGACCGTCGAGGATTAGGGGCGGAGTCAAGATTTTTTTTTTATGTGGGGTACAAATCATTGAAGTAAAAAAAAACACTCAATCTTTTTCATTCCGGCTTGGAACCGAAATTGGCTGTTCAATTTTTTTTTTCAATCATTAGATTCATAATAAAAAAATAAAATTTATTGTAAAGCAAAAAAATTTATAATTTTGAATACTAAATCTTGAGATTCTTCTTATCTATCATATATAATTAAAATTAATTAAAATGCTTCCAAAAACTAGGAAACAATTAAACTCCAATTATTATTGATTTTGATTTTTATGAGAAATAAAGTGGTGCAGTGACCGAAAGGGAAGCAAAGCTCTGGATAACAAGAGAGGAGCAATAGAACAGTGAACCAAATACTAGTAATTATATATCAACCCCTTTCCTTTTGTCCAGTACATGCATTAATATTGCTATACTATATCAGGTCTAGCGAAGTAAAAAAAAAAAAAGAAGAAGATATTTCTAATACTCAAATAGAAAAGTCCTAACAGAATTCTGGTATAAAAGATAGTGCTAGAGGTCTTATATGAGGCTGAATGCTGCTAGGCACATGTGCGCCGCATCAGATCTCTCCGGCTTCAGATGGACTCGCTTCCAGCGAGATGCTTGTGACACGAGCATCATCTAGTGGATGGTATGAGAAGATATCAGCTACATTGAAAGTAGTAGAAGTTTTAAAGTCCGGAGGTAAGTCCATAATATAAGCATTATCATTAATGCGTCGTAGTATGGGAAATGGTCTGATCTTCTTCAGATTGAGTTTGGAGTGACTGCTCGATGGAAAATGATCTTTACAAAAGTGAAGCATAACAAGGTCACTTGGTTGGAAGACTTGAAGCCGTCGGTGTTGGTCAGCATGTTGCTTATAAAGTACATAAGATGTCTCCAGTTTGTCTTTGATATCCTTTTGCACTCTTTCAGCTTTCAAATTCAAGATTGGGTCTTCATAAATTCTTTCCTACAATATTGAATTCCAGCAAACCCCTTACCGAATTTTCCACACTGATTTTCTACCACCTAAAATTTTGCACACACTATTGTTAAATTCTACACACACTATTTAACAAAATGCCATTTCTATCAACAACATACCCATTTCAAAACCCAAAATCTAAAAGAAATAGAATCTGAGAAGAAAACTACTATTTCTTTCAAATTTTTGGAATCTTACACATCCCCCCCCCAACACACACATATATATATATATTCATTACCCTGCTCTCTCACCGCCAGCAAGTCCTAGCATCTCTTCCCTTCCATTTTGTTGGCATCTTTGAAATTTCAGCAAACCTTCTTTTACTAGATAAAGAAATCCAGAAATCCTTCAACAAACAACTAGATCTCTTACTTGTTTTTTTTTTTTTTTCACAATTTGCTGAAGTAGGCGCACGATTTCTACACAGTTAATTATGATACAACTAGTAAGCAGCTCACCCTTTCAGACTTCACACCTTTTCCCCACAATTTCATCTATTTGTGGTTCAAGCTCAAAGTGCCAGTGAGTAAATACATTAGTGCTTAGGTATTTTTTTAATATTTTATATCTTCTTGTATCTAATGCTCCACTATACAGAGATCAATCCAATTGTATCTAATGCAATTGGGAGCAAGCCCAACCACACGATCAACTATACAGAGATCCCATCCTTACATGTGCTGATTAGTGGGAAAGCTATAGTATTTAATAATAATAGATTCTTCTAATAAGGCAAAGCTTCTACAATAATTGATATACAATATATTAATGAATTATTAGTGCTAAATTAAACAGTAATGAATATACATACACTTAGACACTTAGATCATATTTTGCATATGCTTATATATGCCAAAATACTTGGAATTGAATGAACAACATTTATAGAAAATTTAGACATACTTTATTTTGAATATTTCGGGTATTAGAAGATGGTTAGGCATCTTTGTATAAACAATAGATAAAGGGTATTGACTTGTGGAGCGGTTTGTCATAGAGTTGATGCAAATTTAGCTTGGCCTACGAATTCTTTCCACAGTTTTGGATTTTGCTGAACCAGGCAACGAAGCATACTGCCTAGCTAGCGTGTAGTTGACAATCTCTGTTTGTCCATCGGTTTGCGGGTGATATGCCGACGAATGTCTGATATCTGTTTTGAGTCTTTTCCACAACTCACGCTAAAAATGGCCATTGAATTTGACGTCTCTGTTGGAGGTGAGGCTCATTGGTAACCCATGCAGGCGCACGATTTCCTTGAAGAAAATGTGGGATATATTGAGTGCATCAAAAGTATTCTTACAGAGAATAAAGTGAGGCATTTTTAGAACCGATCCACGACTACCATAATGGCATAGAATGGTACTTTTTACAGGGCAATTCTAGGATGAAGTCGAGGCTTAAATCCTCGTAGATAGAGTTGGGAATGGGAAACAAAGAATATAATCCAGTGTTTTGAGTAGTACCTTTAAAAACTTGGCAGACATGGCATCACTCAACGAAACAGATGAAATATCGACAGAGGTGCGGCTAGAGAAATCGGGATTAGAGATACTGTAAGGTTTTATCCCTGCCCATGTTTGTGGCAAATTGACATTTCGATGCATTAAGGAATAGTTTACTTGTCCGCAGTGTTTTAAAAATTTTATTGAGATGGTCTATATGGTCAGGAAGGCATGAACTGAAAACAAGTATATCATCGAAGTAGATGACGCAACACTTATCCAAAAATGGCTTTAAGATCTCATTCATATAGCATAAAAATGTATAAGGGTCATTGTATAAATTGAATGGCATCACTTTACTATTGTATAAGCCTTCTTTGGTTTTAAAATCCATCTTCCATTTGTCTCCTTGCTTGATCCTAATTTGATGGTAGATGCTGCGTAAATCTAACTTCAAAAAAATAGAAGCACCAAAAAGTTTGTCAAGGAAATCATTAAATCTAGGCATCGAAAAATGGTATTAATTTTATCATTATTTTGTTAATAGCGTGTCTATCTATGCACATTCACCATTGACCATCTTTCTTCGGAATGATGAGTGTCAGTACAGCGCATGGACTCATACTCGGTTGTATGAGTTGTTTCTACAATAGTTCATCCAATATTTCTTAAAAAATAGAGTGTTGCTTCGGGCTCATGAGGTAGTGGGGTTGGTTCATTAGAGAAGCTCCAGGAATGAGCTCAATTTGGTGTTGTAGCTGGCGTAGTGGGAGTAAACCAGTAGGAAGTTCAGCTGGCATAATGTCCTCATATTCAGTTATTAACTCTCGGATAGGGGTAGGAATTGATTTCAGCTTATTAATTTCTACACAGTTAATTATGATACAACCAATAAGCATTAGTCCAATGAGTGTTGCTTCTTTTGTCTTAGTTTATGTTAAAGCTA